CCCCCCCGCATGTGCCCGATAATTGAAAACACTGTCAGTTTCAACAAAAGGAGAGGAGTCATGTGGGTAAAAGGGAAATGAAAATAAACTACCATACAAAACAGACATTGCCAATGTTTTATTTTTAATTTTTTTAAGATGCAAAAAGGGTCCACTGAAAAAGAAGTTACATTTCATAAATAAATTAAAAAATGCATTTATGAAAAATATCAGTACAAAGTGGACATAAGGATAGTCTTTGGAAGTTGGCAAGGAATTGTTTAGCTCACAGATTGAAAAAAGACAATGTCACAAACTTTTGTTAAAAAAATCTGTACAAATAACAAAATAAATAAATAAGTTAAACAAAACGACCTTAACAAAACCTGAACAGCGCTATGTACAGGGTTCGGACTCTCTAGCGCCCTCTTTGGTGTGGCTGTCACAGCTTGCTCTCCTCTTCTTCTAGGGCTCGATTCAGTCCCGGGATAAACTTTAGCAGACGCCTCCTGAAACTCATCTGCTTGGGTTTCCGTGGCAGGGAGCCGGATCCGGTCGGCCTTTCCCCGGCGAGCGGAGGAGCCGCGCGCAGGTAGCTGCGGGTGCTGGCGCTGCGGGTCAGCTGGCTCTTGGTGGTGGAGAGAAGGCTGGAGGCCACTGTGGTGCAGCGGTGCAGGGCTCTGTTTCCCAGCTGCTCCCTCCCTCCATCTTCCTCCTGGGCGGAGCCGGAGCCTGCAGCGGTATTGTTGATGCTGGTCGACTGCTCCCCTGGGTACAGGCAGGTCTGGTAAAGCGCGTCATCCTCCGTGGTGCCGCTCAGCTGGCTGGCGCTGCTGCTGGCACTGCTCATGCAGCGGACGGCACGCAGAGAGGCGGGGCTGGAGGTTCCCAGGCTACTGTACACCAGGGCCCTGACCGACTCCAGTGACTCGTACATGGCGGCGTCGCTCATCATGAGGCCTGATTGAAACCGGAGGTTGCAGTGTGAGAGCGTGACCTCTAGGGGGACCCGCACAGGCCTGGCCCAAAAGTCTCTCAAAACACAACACGACCTGAAAAAATTAAGAACTCACCGTGCGCCAGCCTCTGTTCCTGCATCATCAGGGACCGGTATTCATCCCATTTTTCATGCAGGGTTTGCTGATAAGGGCAAAAAAAGACAACCAGTCAGACCGAGGATCCCTTTCCCCTCTGCAGAACTGTTTGTTTATCACTGGGCAGCGTCCACAAGAGAGCTGCCCACGCAGAATGCGTGCCAACGGGCCAGAAAACAGGAAACAGACATGGTTTCTGTGAAGACGCGTGACCCCTTCCCTTCCAAAGATGCTGCGTGTGCAGCCGCAGGCCACATGAGTGTTCTGTGCTGTCGGAGTGAAGTCCCACTGCAGGGTTTATTTACAGTGTGTGACATGACGAAATCAGCATGTTAGCTCCCCGAAATGGGGCCCCACACAACTCCAAAGGAGAGCTGAATCCCTCACTTCAGTGCGGGCAGTTGTGGCCCAGGCCTGTGTAGGGAGTGGCGGGGGGTGTCCTACCTTCAGGTACTGCAGCCGAGCCTCCAGCTCCGCTTTCCGAATGGCGTCACTGTACACAGTCTCCAGCCTGTGGAAGCCGGGATACATGGGGGGAACATTGAGACGCTTTCTCAGAGCCGCATGCGGCACGCCACAGTGGAACCTGTCACGGGTGGCGGAGGTGGGGGCGGGGGGGGGGGCATTCTGCTGACCTCAGGGGCCACGTTACAAAGGCTCTCTTTGTGTGGGATCCCGGCACATGACGTGTGATCTTAAGAATTCAAGAAATTAGGGGTTTTGGCAGAAGCACCCCCTCACCATCCATATGCAAACATTTCGAGCCGGGCACTGCTCCCTTCTTCGAAAGGCTAATCAGCTTTAGCGGTAGCTCTTTATAGTTTATGGACACTCTCTCATCCCCTGTGTCACTGCCATGTGACAAAAAAGGAGCATCTGTAGACTCATTCTGCAGCTGACAGCTGGTTTGTCTTTACACTCTCCTGCTTCACTGGAGCACCGGCATGTGGATAAGCACAGCCATACCGGCTGGTATTGGGAAATACTGGAACAACGTAAACAATTTACAAATATGTCCCTGGGGGGGGGGGGGGGGACTGTTTGTTCCACAAAACAAGACGAGTGACTGCCCCGGATGGCATGGCGCTGAGAGAACAGGAAACAGACTATGCTCTTTCCAGAGATCAGAGGTATTCTTGGGTACAGTCACTGACTGGGGAAAATAAATAGGAGAGAAAGTATGTTTGTAATCATTCCAGCATGTTGGGCAGAAAGGGCAGCCGCTAGATTAACTGAAGAATTAATTCTGCCTGCTCACAAACCTCAGCTGGCTACGGTGCCCCCAAAGCTATAGGAAAGGTCTGATAAAGTGAAAAAGGGGGCTGATCACCCGCCCCGAATTCCGGGTACTCGGGTCACTCACCTGACGCAGTTACCAGACGACCTGATGAGCTGAACGATGTCTTTGTGTCGGCATCTATCCACGCTGGACTCGTTCACACTTGCTATGGTATCCCCTAGGGGTAGCAGACCACAAATGAAGACAAGCTGGAAAAACAGACGTCCATGATCTCATGCTTTCCCAGTGCCCACCATTCATGCTGCTACTGCTAGCCACAGACAGTTCCAGTTCCGGTACTAATGGTTTTTCTCATTTCGAGACCCCTGTGTTTTATAGGGTAACAGACCGTACTCGATCACCATTAGCCTCTCTTCCAGATCCCTGTGGTCTATAGAGTAACAGGCTGTACTCCATCATTAGCCTCTCTTTCAGATCACTGTGGCTTATAGAGTAACAGGCTGTACTCCATCATTAGCCT